GTGAAATAAATTACTTATTTATAATAATACTGAATTTATGCGGGGTGGTATAACTAGTGTTATAACGGTTGTAGCTATAGTATTACGGGCAACCAACGGTCCAGCTACGTCGAAACACCGGTTCCCATTAGAACACCGAAGTTAAGCGACGTAAGGCGACACTAGTGGATGGACGGGTGACCAGTTCGAAACTCTGTATCGTGCTGTTGTCCAATAAAGGCAAAAGTGTAAAATCTATTGACACACACTGCTCATTCACGCCGGTTCGAGGCCAGATGAAATCGGATATCTCGTGAGTAAGAGTCGATTTAGACACTTGCTCGGTCATTGACCGAGGACCGCTGTTCGGATTCCACGTAAACAAAGTAGGCCCCGTCCAGATTAGCCCTGGCAGCAAAAAGGAGCCGTTAACTTCAAATCTTTTACTTTACTTTATAGTATTACATTATAACATTATCATGTCATAATATTATGAAATATGTCCTACTACCAATTTTTTTAATATTGGTACAGCAAACTTATCAGTATAAAGTTTTACTTATCTTTATCCTTTTTATTGCTATTTGTAATTCTGAATATGAGGATAAGAAATTTAAGTTTTAAGTACGCCTATGACCGAAAGCGAACGTCTACCTCCCGCTTCTAATAAGCGGCCATATTTGGATGGAATCAGGGATGAGTAAATATAAAGGACCCTAAAATTAATAAATTTTGCTCGTCTGCTCTGTTCAAACACGTAAGAAATATTTATTGATGGATCAGTATGGCAGAGAAGTAATAAAAAGGCCGTTTTTATGAATAACAAAATGGTATTTGAACATCATATTATAATCAAACTGAATTGACAAATAGATTAATTTATCAGCTATCCGAAAATTGGCAATAATAGAAACATGACACATGGCAATTAATATAATTCCAAATTAAAAATCGATAAGAGTTCTCATTCATAATAGTAATATAGATATATTTTAAAGAACTTTACTTAAAATTAACTTTTTTAATTTTGTACTAGTTTATGGCACTTGGTGGTATAACTTAACAAAATAATATCAATCATTAAATAAAGCATAAACGAACCAATAAATAAACAAAAAGGTTAATTTATTTAATAAAACGTACAACGTACGGCTTTGGATGCCGATTGTCGTTTGTATGCAGAATACAGTCAACGTGTGTTCAGTACAATACGATATACTGAAAGAGAAAAGACTATAAAATACGGGAGAAAAATGAGAAGTTTATTACCTATCCACTTCATCCGGATCGGTCGACAATAGAATTTGTGATATTTACAACATTATGTAATTAATTGATTATCGGTCCTGTTATGTAACTGAGGATGTACGTAACTACGTAATAGAGCATATTTTTTGGTTAGTTTATTAGTTTATTGAATGAAGCGTACACACGGCTTTGGTTGCTGATTCTCGTGTGTCAACGTGTTCAGTACAATACGATATACTGAGAAAGATGCTGATGCTCTATTACGTAGACACGTACATCCCTAGTTGCATAATAAGACAGATAATCTATTAATTACAAAACGTACTAAAAGCGCAAATTCTGTTGTCGAACGCTGTAATCAGTATAAGATTATGTATTAAATAATTATGGAGGTGCATATGAAACATTAAACAATTCATCATTGCGTTAAGTTATACCACGTAATTTAACAAAAAGATCAATCATTTAATATCTCACTTCACACTGTATCACTCCATTATTATTTAATACTGATTAGAATGGTCGACAATAGAATTTGCACTATTTACTACGTAATACAGCATATTTTTTGGTTAGTTTATTTAATTGATATAACCGATAATGTACACACGGCTTTGGGTGCCGATTGTCGTGCACAGAGTCTATAGACTCTGTGATTTTATAAATGAACAAAGAGAAAAGAGCAAGAATTTTCCCAAGCGCATGAAGTTGAGCTCCGGATTAAGTGGATAGTTAATAATTTTCTCTCCCTGACTTACAAGATTGCCATAGCGATTCACTTCTAGACATGTAGGTAAATGATGACTAAAATAAACGACCCAAGATTTTCTCTTGCCGACCAGTATATTATCGTAGTCTTAAAGAAATTAGAATAAAATAAACTATGTTAAAAATTTTCATGTATACTACTGAAATGAAGATAATATATCTAAGCTAAATGTAATCTATTACAGTTGTAGTAAAATGAGTAACTATTTGTCGAAAATCCAGATCCAACCCTAGATGCAACATTTTTTTGAAACGTCTACTTATGCGGTTTGAAATTTTGATGCAAAATCTGGCAATACCGCTCAGAAGAAATGTACCCACCCATACCCACCCAACTTTTTTCTCTTTTTAATACATTTAATTTGCCATTAAGCTACCTACATCACTGTCTTACACGTTAAAATCCTATACACAGAGTTGGCCTGTCCCGATGTGTATATTACATACAATTCTTTACAATAGGTATATTTATTCAAAATTTCCGTAGACAGTATTGTTGTTTTTATAGTTTTACACCTTTGACTAGAGGTTATAAGCCATAGGCCAACATTTTATGCCTAGAATATTTTACCAAAAAACAACAATCTAGACGGAAACAATATAAAGTTCAAATTTTAGACGTGAAATATATCAGAAGATTCCTATCCTTCAATAAGAAGAAGAGAGACAGCCGTTCCCACCAAGACAATTAAGCTGACATATACTTTTTACTTTTTATTCTAATTCATTTTAATTAGGCAGTTGATTGTCAACCATCATAGCATACACATGTACTAAAACCAATTTTTTTGTAATAAATAAATTTTTAAAAAAGCCTTTCTGAGTGTTCGAGAGTTATTTGGCGCAGTCGGTAGGATACACAGAATTCCCGTATCGAACGTGAATTTTCGTTTTAACGATTGACTGTGAACAGATCCTAGACAGTTGTTCGCGAAAAGTGGAAAGTGTACTGGCGGCTCTTCAAAAATCAAGAAACCGACCTCGTATTGGACCAATACACAATTCGCTCGAGCAGAACATCGAAGTTTGGAACAACATTGTCCAAATTTGCGAAGGAACCATCAGCGAAGACTACATTGCAGACCTGGTGAATTTCTTCATAGAAAAGAATGCTCAGAATCGCTCTCATCTTACTGTAAGTACAATTTATGGAAGAACTTTCTGAAATTTTTGAAAAATTAAGTTTTAACAAACCTTCAACTGACTCTCAACCAATTAACGAAATTTTACAAAGAAATTTAAATTCGAATATAAGCAAGATGACACAAACTTTCAAAGCTGAATATTTAAATTGTTTGCCTGAATTCGACGGCAATCCTAACGAATTAAATAGGTACATATCTATAAGTGAATCGTTAATAAATAATTTTTATGACCATATTAATCCAAATAAATTTGAAAATACATATTTAATGAATTCTATAATTTCTAAGCTTAAGGGCAACGCCAAAATAGTTGTAAGCATTCAAAATACAGCCACATGGGAAGATTTAAAAACTGTTTTTAACCAGAAACTTTGCTGATCAAAGAGATGAGTGTTGTCTCAATAGAGATCTAGTAATGTTAAGACAATTGCCAAATGAAAAGCCACAGCAATTTTTCGATAAATGTTTAAATATTTTAAATCTTCTATGTAGTTATGTTGACATTCACGAATCAACTACTGAGGCAAAAAACTTAAAGAAAAATTTATATCAGGATATAGCTCTAAAAACTTTCTTGTCTGGGTTACGAGAACCTTTGGGAACTACTATACGTTGCATGAAACCTAGTACTTTGGGAGAAGCTTTACAATACGTAATTTCTGAAGATAATATTCATTATTTTCAAAATTTTTCTAGTAACAAAAATATATTTAGGCCACCTGTGGCACAAATACAACAATTTAGACAACAAATGCCACAAGTACCGCGACCTAATTTCGGTTCTTCTCAGAATTTACCTTTAAATTCGCATACACAAAATAATCAATTTAGACAAAATACTTTTCCTAGCCAACCTATAAATATAAGGCCTAACCCTAACTATCAACAACCTAAATTTTTTACTAACTCCCAAGTTTTTAAAACACCTTCAAATGTTAATGTATTTAAACCCAATCCTGGACAAAGATTTCCACCACCTACACCTATGAGTGTCTCTACTAGAAACACTACAAACGTAAATAGAGCGGGTCCGTCAACATCAAACCAATATAGAAATAATTTTTCTAACCAAAATCAAAATCGTAATTATTTTAGTAATGTTGGTAAAAATCCAAATATTATTGTCGAAGAACTTTTCAATACAGAGGCAAATCAAGAAGAGACATATGATCAAAATATTGAATACTCTGAACCTCAAGATTACGAGGAATTTAATGTCAATTATCAAGATATCAATGAAACCGAAATACAGACAGATATTGTTTCGAATGTTGACAGACAAAATTTTCACGATACTCCTACTCCCAATCAAGACACATAAAACCGAAAATAATTTCATTAAACACAACAAATTCAAGTGAATTAGCATATTTAATTTTTCCTGAATATAATATAAAATTATTGATCGATTCTGGATCGACCAAATCATTTATCGATCCACAAGTCGCTAATAAATTTTTTCCAAATTCAATAAAATCAGATCCGTTTATCGTAACTACGGTATTTCAAAAATCATCACATAAATACAGCGCTGAAATTCCAGCCTCCCAAATTTTTAATTTACCGGAAACAAAATATCTTAAATTCTACTTATTTAAATTCCATAATATTTTTAATGGGCTTATTGGACTTGACATTCTTAAATTTTTACAAGCCAACATTAATTTTAAAGATGGATATTTACTAACACCATATGCAAAAATTAAACTGTTTTTTCACGGAACTCAAAATCCAGTATATTCTATAAATGTTTCACCGAGATCACAACAACTCATTAAAGTTAGAACTTCTATTCAAAATGGCGAAGTTATAATTCCTCACACAAAAATTCAAAATTGTGAAATTCCTGAGAGTTTAACAATGGCTTATAATGGCGAAGCCATAACAACTATTTTGAATAGTACAACTAACAGTATTGTGTTAGACTTGTCCGAGCCTATCGAAGTTTACAAACTCGATAGAAATGAAATCGAAAATATCGATCTAAATTTATTTACTCAAAATCCACCCAGCACTAATAATAATACTGAGAAATCGCCTTTAGATTTATACAGCGAAAATCTGCCTAACGTAAGTAATCCACCTAACGACAACAACTCCATGCACGTTGAACCCGACCTTGACCGTCACCGTGAGATAGATGAAAATGCTGACGATCACACAATCCATTCTAACGCGGAAAATCATCCTATCTTCGGTATTCCAATAATAGAAACTGCAGTTAATTACGGGGCAAATCAAATAATTATTAACTCAGTATTACACTCACCAGCAAATCCTAAGACGAAAATTTTATTTGGAAAAAAGAAACGTATTATTTTACAACTATCACAAAATAATTTAGAAAAAGATATAATCGATTTTGTCAAAACCTACATAAATCCTGATACATTATATTATTTATATTTCGAAAACCCTGACCTGTATGAACCCTTTTCAAACACTCTTCAAAATTACTTCAAACACTCTGCATTAAAACTCAGAAAATGCACTAAAAATTACTCGATGTAACTAACAACGATGACCTGAAAGAAATAATCCAGAATTATCATGAAAGTAAGTCTAATCATCGAGGAATCGATGAAACTTACAATAGAATAAAAGAAAAATATTATTGGCCCTTTATGAAAAATTCTATCCAAACTTTCATCAATGATTGCGAAATTTGCCAACAAAGCAAATATGAGCGACACCCTATAAAAATACAGATGAACATTACACCTACTGCAACAAAACCCTTCCAAATCCTTCATATGGACACTTTTACTTTTATGATTTGGATATCGGGCGCGAGCGAGCGATGGCGGACGACGTGCACGTATGTGTCCGTTGCTCGGATAATTTTATAGTGAATCAAAAGTTTTTAAAATGTAATGGATGCAGTGGTGTTTTTCATTATCATTGTACGGGCTTAAAAGATGCACAGTGCAAGTTTATCGGCGAATCTGACAGCGTTATGTGGTTTTGTGACCAATGTTGTGAACTGAATCCTGGTTATCCTGCACAAGGACTACACAACAACACATCGGACATTACTAACTTAAAATGTGAGATTTCAGTGCTAAGAAAGGAAGTAGATTGTCTTAATCGAGAAAAATGTTTATTAAATAAATTATTAACCGAAATGGAATGTTCAACAAAATTGTTAAAATCTAGACTGGAAGAATGCGAGCAAAAAATTATAAATGATAAGAATGCCATTGACTCAAACATCAATAATAATACTTCGATAAAAAAGGGAATCTCCTATAGCAGTGCCTTGACCTCTAAGGTAAATAATGAATCAGCTGTTCTTTTAATAAAATCCAGCAATAATGCTTTAAATAGCGATGAGGTGTTAAAGAATGTAACTGGATCGGTTAACCCTGCAGATCTGAAAGTGTGTATTAATAACACTAAAAAAATTAAAAACGGTATGGCTATTATGTGTCAAGACTCTGGAGGCCTACATACGTTAAGGGATGAGTTGCAAGCAAAGTTGGGGTCAAGATATGTTTTCAGTGAGTCGAAAAAATTCAATCCACGTATGCTTATAAAAAATGTACGAGTTCAAGAGCCATGTGACGAAACCAATATAGTAGATAGCATATATATGTTGAATGATCTATCGGCGTTCGACAAAAGTGACTTTAAATTAGTGACAAGGTTAAAAAACGTTAACAACTCTGATTTGCTGGTGGAAGTTTCACCGCTCCTCAGGAAATTTCTATTGAGCCGAGGTTTTTTGTGGGTGTCTTGGAAGAAATCTGCAGTTGTGGACCACCTACACATTTTGCGATGCTATAATTGTTGCCAATTCGGTCATACTTCTAAGAATTGTAAAAATACACTAGTTTGTTGGAGGTGCTCTGCCAGTCATCAGGGAAAAGATTGCCAGTGCAAAGAAGAAAAATGTGTCAACTGTCATAATCACAATTTAAAATATAAAACGTCCTGGCCGGTAAATCATTCAGTTAAGAGTAGTGACTGCCATACTTATAATGATTATGTATTGTTCTTGAAAAGTAGAATTATCTACGATTGATTTAATAATATTTTTATTTATTGTATTTCTTGTTTATCACTAAAAATGAACAAAAATTTGTTAAATGTTCATCATATGAATGTTCGATCTCTATCTGGTAAGGTGAATGACTTGAAACTCTATATTTTAAATCATAAATGCGATATCTTAGCAGTTACTGAAACGTGGCTTGATCGCAGAACTAAAACATCCAGTGTAAATATAGAAGGATATCGATTTCTGAGAAGGGACCGTGACTCGCGTGGTGGTGGTGTTGGCTTCTACATCAATAATAATTTAAAGTTTCATCTCATAGAGTCTAATTCACAAATTGAGCAGCTCTGGGTAAGTATTAAATACAAATCCTTTAGTATAGTATGTGGTGTTATATACAGACCACCTCTACACGATATAAAAAGTTTCTTCGATAACCTAGAAATAAGTTTTGCTAACGCCCTTATGGTTAGCGATGTGGTGTGTTGCTTGGGTGATTTCAACGTTGATTATATTAAAAAGGACACGACTAACTATAATATTTTGCATCAATTTATGACTGATTATAATTTAGAACAGTTGATTGACAGTTATACGAGAATTACTAGCACCACATCAACGTTAATCGATCTCATATTAACGACTTCCTTGGATGTGATTCTTGGCTCAGGAGTCAACTCTTGCGAAATATCCGATCACGATGCTATTTACGTAAAATTTCGAGTACCAAAGCAAAAGTCTATTTTCAGCTATTCTCGTAATCTTAAAGGTATTGATATGGACAACTTACTGAATGATTTAAAGTTACAACATCTTGATAGAGTCTATAATGTACCAAATATCGACGAGAAAGTTGACCTCGTAAATAGTGCATTAATCTCGGTGTTTGATATTCATGCACCGTGTAGGAAAATTAGGTTAAGCAAGCCTCCAGCTCCTTGGCTGTCACCTGATTTAAAGGAATTAATGTCCATCCGCGATAAAGTAAAAGCCAAATACAAACAAACAAAATCTCCTGATCTATGGCATGAATATAAAACACTGAGAAATCAAGTTACCCTAATAACTAGAAGACAAAAAAAGACATATTTTAATTTTCTGTCTAAGGAAAAAAATTCCAAAAAACTGTGGAAACAGTTAAAAAATATTAATATAGGAAAAACATCAGATACTATTACTGAAATTCCTAATAATCTAAATAACGCGGATCTTATTAATGAATATTTTGTTAAAAGCATTCCAATTATAGATCAGGATAACAAGGAATTGCTTGATTTTTTTGAGAATGGAGGTGTTCAGAATGTGTCTCTTGATGACCAATTTTGTTTCTCTACTATTGAAGAGGAAGATGTTTTAAACATACTAAATAAAATTAGTACCTGTGCTGCAGGCCACGATGGCATAAATATTATAATGGTAAAACTTTGTTTCCCTATCTTAAAGAATCCACTGATAAATATTGTAAATAGCTGTTTGATCGCGAACTATTTTCCCAAATCTTGGAAAAGTGCAGTTGTTAAGCCTGTTCCAAAGACGTCAGAGGTTAAGGACTTCAAGGACCTGCGTCCAATTAGTATTCTGCCGATTATGTCCAAGATATTAGAGCATGTTATGAACAGGCAAATGAAAGAATACGCAATGCGTGCGGAAATTCTGCCTGTTCATCAATCTGGATTTCGAGCCGGTCACAGTTGTACGACGGCACTCCTAAAGGTAACTGACGATTTACTCGGCGCGTTGGATAGAGGCGATGTGTCGGTCTTGGTGTTATTAGACTACAGCAAAGCATTTGACTGCCTGAATCCAGAAATTCTGATATCAATGCTTCACTACTATGGGTTTTCTCAGGGTGCTTTGGCTCTTATAAAAAGTTATTTTACTGACAGACATCAGACAGTTAAGGTTAATCATCAAATCTCCAAATCCGTACAGTTAACACGAGGTGTACCACAGGGTTCTATTGTGGGACCTTTGTTGTTCTGCCTTTATACATCGCGGTTATCGCATGTCATCAAACATTCCCAGATTCATACATATGCAGATGATACCCAAATTTACTATTCCTTTAGTAAAAATAATATTGAACTTTCTATTAATTCAATTAATACTGATCTCCAAAATTTATATGAGCAGTCCCAAAAATATAACTTGATTCTCAATCCTCTGAAAACTAAAGTTTTAGTTTTTTCAAGTAAAAATTGCTATAGCGAGATTTGCCAACTCGTCAAATTAAACATAAATGGTGTTGCCTTGGAAATTGTTGAGGAAGCGAGGAATCTGGGTTTGATTATTGATAGTAAATTTACCTACAATAAACATATATCAACGTGTATTCAAAAAGCTTATAGTGCTCTGAGACAACTCTATCCGCATAGAAGTTCTCTAACACCTAAAATTAAGGCTGACTTGTGCAATTCTTTGGTGTTGTCTCATTTCTCTCACTGTTCTCCAGTGTACAGCGAATCGTTGAGTGCCGCTGATTTATATAGAGTGCAGAAGGTGCAAAATTCATGCTTGAGATTTATTTTTGGCATTAAAAAATATGATCACGTCACATTCACATTACAGCGTTTACAGTGGTTAAATATGAAGAACAGATATATTTTTAATATGATAAATACTTTTCACAATATCATTACTAAAGAAATTCCTGTATACCTGTTCAATAAAATTCAGTTCCGAAAAGATGCCCATAGTGTCAATATTCGTCACCTGAGCAACATTTCCATTCCTTACCACAGGTTGACTTTATTTAAATCGTCATTTAGCTACTGCGTTTCTAAATACTATCCGGAGCTGCCCTTTAGTATAAGAGCCGCGAGGAATGTCCCTTTTAAGAGTCGTGTGCGCCTGTGGCTTTTTAAAAGACAAATTGTTTAACGTATTCAATGTAATTCAGTGAATTCAATTTTTTTCTTTCCTTTTGTATTTTTCTTGAATTATCATTTTATTTCGCGTAAGGGGTTAAATGGAAGAGCAGAATTGGGTTGTTCTCAATTCTGAATTTCGCTCCTTTCCGGGTCTGTTATTTGTTGTTGTATAACTAATAAGTTTGATTATCCTTGGCTGTACATATAGATTTCATTATTATTATTACTTATCTTCTGTCATACATAATTAAATTGTTCTATTTACTGACTTGGAAATAAAGACATTTATTATTATTATTATTATTATTATTATTTTACACTTGAACAAAATAAATTTTTAACAATTATCGATAGTTTTTCGAAATATGCCCAAGCATATCATCTCAAATCACTTTGCAGTACGGAAATCGTAAATAATCTTATACAATTCTTTTCTCATCACGGAGTTCCAGATCAAATCATAACAGACAATGGTACCGAGTTTAAAAACTCAGTTCTCTCAGAGCTGCTAGCCTTACACAAAATAAAAATACATTTTTGTTCAGTTAACCACCCCCAATCTCAAGGTTCAATCGAAAGGTTCCATTCAACCTTGATCGAGCACGTTAGATTACTTAACACAAGAGGTTTCTTAAAAACACCAATATCACACAAAATTGTATATGCCATTTTAGCGTATAATAATTCGCTCCATTCTGTCACAAAACTCAAACCTATAGACATCATAAATGGACATATTACCGAAAACAGCCCTTTTAATTTAGATATCGATAAAATATTAATTAACGACTATGTCAATGATCATAAAGAACGATCCCGTTTATTATACTCAAAAATAAATGAAAACCTAGTAAACGAAAAAGAAAAACGAATAAATAAAATAAACGAAACCCGTGACGACCCGGAAATATTCAATGACACTGAAGAAGTAATTGTCAAAAAACACACCAGACAAAAAACTGCCAATAAGTTTGGCAAGAAAACAAAACTAAAGCAGATTAATACTAAAAGCAAAACGGTCTCTACTGATGCTCAAGATAAAATTCATATGGACAACTTAAAACGTCCTCTCAAAAAACCTTTTAAATTTAAACCCTAAATGACCGATAATATTTATTTTCAGCATACCCGTAATTCTGGGGATGGAAGATAAAATAGAAATCAAGAACTTAGTGAACAACCCCGGTATATATCCAGCAAAAATTGGAACGGCTAAGCTTACACAATATTATTATAAATTAATACATTTTTACGATCTTCAGCCTCTTATTGAAGAAATTGATAAGTTAAAGTTACAATCTGAAAATATAAAACTTCAAATTAGCAAACATACAACATATTTAAACGATTCCTCAAATTACATAAAAGTCTTAAATTTTATCGAAAACAAATTAAGTGATAAATTATCTGAATTAGTTCCATATTCTCCAAGGAAAAAACGTGGACTAATAAATGGTTTGGGATCTATTTTCAAAGCTATCAGTGGTAATCTAGATGCTAGTGATGGTGAACGATATGAAAAACTAATATTACAACTTCAAAATAATCAAAATAAATTATCAGAAACAATTAAAATGCAAAATTCGCTATCTATAAAATTAATCGATAATTTTAACAATACATTAAAAAATATAATGCATAATGAAAAACTGCTTCAATCTAAATTAGAACAAATTGCATTTATAATAAATGGAACAGTTCACCGCGAAAATTCTATGTTCATAAAAGATGTTTTAAATCAAATTATAGAACTATATAATATTATTTATTCTATTACACAAGATATTGAAAATTCAGTTACGTTTGCTAGACTAGGGATAATGCACCCGAGTATAATTAAACCATTGGAATTCTTGGAAGAACTGAAACGTATACAGAGTGGCTCAAATACATTTTTATTACCTATCGAACTTGATCATAAAAATGTTTTGTTACTAGAAAAGTTAATTAAAATAGAAAGTTATTCTTTTAAAAATAAAATTACATACATCTTAAATATACCCATTATTCACCCTTCGGATTTTAACTTATTTCACATTTATTCCGTACCAATAATGGGAGAAAGTCAGTTTAAGGCTGTAATTCCAAAAAATAAATTTCTAATAATGAATAAATTGTACTACGCGTACTCGAGCGATTCCTGCACGAAGATCTTCCAAGAGCAATACCTATGCAATGAAGTGGAACTACTAGAAATCCAAGAAGTCAACCCCTGCACTGTCCAGTTTTTGAGCTTAAAAAACCTTTCCACTTGTCAAAAACACAATGTTCGCGTCAACCGGCCGATCATCAAACATATCGAAAATTCAAATCAGTGGATTTTTATAATCCCCGATGAAGAAAATATCAAGTTACACTGCCACCATCAAGAAGAAATTTTGAAAGTAAACGGAAGCCTTATAATTCATATTCCAGAGGGATGTGAACTCTCAACTCCTAACCAAAGAGTTAAGAACACTGAGATATATTCTAAACAAAGTTTTAACTACCCAAAGATAAACACCCTAACCAGTTCGCCACAAAATATGGACCTAACAATATCACTGGAAAATGTCGAGTTAGACGAACTACAAGATATAAGAGGAAAAATACTTCAAAATCAGCCGAAAATAGATAATACTGATTTTTCAACATCTCCTAGTATCTGGACAATCTTTATCTATATATCAATAATCTTATTGATTAGTTTTTATTTAATCAGAAGATTCATATCAAGATATGTCTACAAGAAGCCCGTACGTCAAGAAAATCCATTAGATGTTCAAATCCCACTGTAACCCTTGGATTTGAATCTACAGAGGGAGGAAATATATCAGAAGATTCCTATCCTTCAATAAGAAGAAGAGAGACAGCCGTTCCCACCAAGACAATTAAGCTGACATATACTTTTTACTTTTTATTCTAATTCATTTTAATTAGGCAGTTGATTGTCAACCATCATAGCATACACATGTACTAAAACCAATTTTTTTGTAATAAATAAATTTTTAAAAAAGCCTTTCTGAGTGTTCGAGAGTTATTTCGTGTTTTATAACTAGATTTTTACAAATATACAATCCTTTGTTTGTCAATTTTAAATGTGAGATTAATAATTTGATTAAAGTTTTTTTATTAAAACTATATTAGAGCCACGTCAGAAATATGGCTATAAAAAAACGATATGGCAACATTAGGTCATAAAACAAGGACAAATTTGAAAGAGATAGGTAGCTGAAGGACATACCGGACCACTACCAGACATACGTTCTCGGAAGTACCTTTTTTTATGTAGGAGCCAACTTTTTAATATGAGTTCCTTGTCTCCCCGTAGGGGTTATATATACAAAGGCCTACTCCAACTCATACTGCAGGGGAAAATAGAAGGCAGAAGATCAGCGGGACGCAGACGAATATCGTGGCTGCGAAATCTACGAACATGGACCGGATTGACGTCAACAGATTGGTTCAGAACGGCAGTGAACAAAGTAATATGGACCAATGTGAAAGCCAACATCCAAAGAGGATAGGCACTTTAAGAAGAAGAAGATAAAATTTCCCTACAAGTAGGATATTCTCAAATTTCTATCCACTTTTTTCTACTCTCTTCTTTTTCAGCAAATTTTTCTTACAGTATAAAAATCGCTCGAGTACTCGATTATTGAAATAACCGACATCGCTCGATTACGAACGACCGATGCGAGTTACGAGCGACGAACGCAAGTGATCCTAAGATGAAATAAATTGAAATACTATTTTAATGTGACATACTCGATACGAAAAATATAATATTGTTGATAATTATATCAATATATTTTAATGAATAAACTGACCTTATGTTGTATTATTTTATGTTAAATAAAATAAATAACATAAGTAACAATTCCAAAATATGTACTCATTAGTCATATATTTATATTTTACCAAAGGACCCTGCAAATTTATTAAACCACACGCTATAATAATATTAAAGGCCATTAAAGGTATCAATTTTGAATGTATACAGGAATTAGGTTTCAAAATTTTATATTCACGAATTCGCCTAATAACTCTTTCTATATGTAAAGGGGGGTCTTATCAGAGCACATTTTCTTTCATCAATTAAGTTTTCAATGTGTTTGAAACTTCGATCTGCCATAACTCCCGCACCAGGTTTAAGTTTATCTAGGAATCCAGATTGTTCTACTATAACAGCATCTGATGTTCGCCCTCCATATCCGCCAGAGGTATAGTTTATTATTCCGTCAGGCGTAGAAGAAATTAAATACTTTATTGTATTGGCCTTTTTGTACTCTGACCAGGTTAGAGCCTCTTTTACAGCATCAGATGGCTTCTGAATTTCAATCTCTAAACAGTCGATAATGCACTGAACAGTGCTGTACCGAGCTCTAAATGGTAGCGGTAATTGGTTTGTAATTTTCTCTTCAGATGGCCAAATTATAAGGCCTTTCAAAAAATTGCTAATTATCACTACATGATTTGAGAATATCGTACTTGTGCTGCTTTCAGAAATTCCAAAGGCGTCTCCTAATTCAGAAAAAGTCTTTGCTAATTTAATTTTCTGAAGAGTGATATAAATACTTCTTTTATCACATTGAGTGTATTTCTCTAAAAGCTCAATGACATAGAAACACTCCATAGTTAATCCGATATACCGTTTTGGATAGAGACTTATTAATCTAACGGTATGTTGGTGTGCTAAGTTCAAAAACTGTTTATTTTCATTTTTTTTATCTCACCTACACCGTCACTTGATGAGGAATCCCGCGGTTTAGTATTCGGTGAGGTATACTGAGAAGATGTTGATGCACTGCTGTCTGTAGTAGAGGAGAAAGAAGAGAATACTAATTTCTGTTTTAAAGCTGATGATTTCGATACTTCATTTTGTATAAGAGGGGGGGTACTAATACTTTTTGAAACATGAACGAGTGGAGAGGTACCTCCACTAATGGTAATTTATACACTCCAATGGTAATTTATACAATATGATCGTCAGCGATGGCTATGAAATGAAGATTGAAATTTTTCTAGAAAAAAAAATACGATAATCAGTTTCTGTTGAATCTTTGGCACAAAATAATTTCAAATTTATTATTTCAGACTAATAACTATCCAGTCCACATGTACAATTTTAGTCAATTATGACATATTCAACTCAAATCAAATCAAATCAAACTTTATTTCTATATACATTACAATGTATACAGAAATAATATACAAAAAATTACAATAATATACAAAATAAGTACAATACATTTTTTTTTACTATTAGGTTTTTGTGTATCTATAACAAAATATATTAATGTAGTGACACATGCTTTTGCGCTAAGTGAAGGGAACACAAGATGTCACCTATAACTTGTGTTGCAAAAGCATGTATCTGAGTTTAAAGATGGCGAGTTTCAAGCGGGAGCGAAGACGGGGACAAGGCGGCGCGCCGACCTGGACGATTGATGTAAAAATCGATGTTAAAAATTGACACACATTTTTTGTAATAAGTAATTTGTCAATGGTAATAAAAACTAGTAATATAAAAGAGTATCTAGTAAAAAAAGGAAATAAGAGAAAAAAATACAGACAGATACAATCAACTTTTTCAGTTAAATAGTATTAAATATTTACAAAAGCGATGAATAATTATCATGAACGTATGATTCAGTAAGATATTTGAATTTTCGTTTATTATTTAAGGAATTTCTAATACAATCTGGAAGCATATTAAAAAGTTTAGGAGCAAAATAAGTCACTGTCCTCTGTGTATGAGTTTTTGAATACAGGGGTACGCGAAGCGGTGACAGATCTAGTACTATATACATTCTTCATTCTAATTTCAATATAATTCAGAAACTTCTTTAAAAGATTGTGATAGCTTATATTAATATTAGTATTATTTAGCACACACCCCCAGTTTTCTTTTTTCAATAAACTTATTAATTTATTTATGTCAAGTGTTGTAATAGTCTGCTCGCATACTCTATCAGTTTGACAATAGTTTTTGTTAATATTTAATGCGATTGGATAATGATCAGTCAGTGAAAAATCAAATATATAGGAGTTTGCTTGTTCGTCTTTTGCTTGGTTATTAAATGTTATAAATAGATTATCAATTAATGTGAAAGTACTCTCGGTTACTGTAGTTGGTTTAGTAACGTATGAAAATAAGCCATTAGTAGCGAGCAGATCTAGATAAGAGTTAGTTAATAAATCAGATTTATCCATAATGTTAATATTTATATCCCCAATAAGTATTTCCGTGTCCCGCGTATTAAATTTAGTGAAATAGTTTTCGAGACCTTCTAGGAAAAAATGCAGGTTTGTTGAGGGAGGTCTATATATTGCTGTTAAACCAAGTATTAAACCATTTAATGCAATTTCTAGTCTCAAAACATTAACTTTCCTGTAATTGACGCATTGTACACTCAGTTGAATATGCTTCTTTACGTAAACGAACAGCCCATCATTTTTATTATACAGTGATTCATTATAATATGCTTCAAAATCGTTAATATTAAAGCTGTCTAGTTCTTCCAAGTTAAATGTCTCTGACAATACAATTATATCAATATTCTTCAAATCAAATTCGTTTAAATAAATTAAGAGTTCATCAAAGTTCTTCCTTATACTTCTTATGTTAAAATGAATTAGCTTGAGCTGTCCCACTTCATTTGCAAAATCGGCCAAAACATTAAAATCACGTACATCCGCCACCTCCGCCTCCCCGACCCGCTCCAACTCTTCCAGTAAATCTAAAATCATAAAAGATTATACAAAATTATATGCAAAAATCGACAACCTCTATAATAGTCAGTATCTAAAAATACTAATTCAATATAGTATTTGTATACATACAAATATTAAAGTAGAAAAATAAACATATGTGGAAAATAAATATAAATTTCATCATCCTGCATGTAATACACAAAACTATAAAATAACTAAAGGTTAAATTTAATAATAGAATAAAGACAATTTTTAGTATTGAAAATACTTCTGGCCGCGTTTATATGGGACCCATCTTTGAAAAAACAACATGCTAGAAGCAACATGGGTTCAATAACCTGCCTGTCAACACGTACTTAAGTTGATAGAGCCGGCATTGATAAGCGAATAGGGCAAGGTCGAGTCTGGACCGGCGGATAAAGAAAGCGATATTATTTTAAAAGAAAATATGTCAAGGCATGGGTTGTTAGGTACAGTTTGGCTATTTTAATCTAACTATTTCCGTATGAGAAACAAGGGGCAAATTATACGAGAAAGAGCAGCGCGAACGTAGTCGCGGAAAAAGCTAGTAATTTATTAAATTATTTTATTTAACTGATTAATTCTCATTGAAAAGGAATTTTTGTAATTCGCCACTATATTAGTTAAAACTAAGAAACTCATATCAGTCTTTAAGTTTTGTCATTTTGACTTATACTTTTACAAAATCTGAACACATTTTAAAAGAAAAAAGCTTTTTGATAATATTTGTAGATTGACTACAAGTTATAACATAAATTTCTACGACCGATCTATCTAGTGGTCTGCAGCATCGCCTTGTGGTGCAAACGTAGGCTGTTAATCTGTGACGTGACGCACAACAGCCAAGAAAACAGAAGCGTGGCTAAGAATTTGCAATTTAAAAAAATGTCTTTATATACAGTGGTAAATGTTTTGTGTTTAAATGGGATTTGCCTTTAACAGTTAAAAAATTACATCGTAAAGTGTAACTTTCCGTAACAATTCTTTATCTGTCATTGATCATGATCTGTCATCATGTTAACCTGATGTTTTGTATATGTTATTTTGTTTTTGCTTGTTTGTTTTACGGATAGGTGCGGATCGCATAATTATTATTGATAATGTTTTATTTAATGTTAACATTACTACTTTTTCAGTGAATCTTTAAATCTGTTGTTTTTTGTTAAGTTCGTTATTTAATGTATGTACACTCATATTAACACTAATCATATTTTTACGTTTTTATTCATCATTTTCAATGCCCCCCGGTTGCATCTTTGTAAAGGACTGTGAATTTTTGTGTATCTATAACAAAATATATTAATGTAGTGACACATGCTTTTGCGCTAAGTGAAGGGAACACAAGATGTCACCATTAACTTGTGTTGCAAAAGCATGTATCTGAGTTTAAAGATGGCGAGTTTCAAGCGGGAGCGAAGACGGGGACAAGGCGGCGCGCCGACCTGGACGATTGATGTAAAAATCGATGTTAAAAATTGACACACATTTTTTGTAATAAGTAATTTGTCAATGGTAATAAAAACTAGTAATATAAGAGAGTATCTAGTAAAAAAAGGAAACAAGAGAAAAAAATACAGACAGATACAATCAACTTTTTAAGTTAAATAGTATTAAATATATACAAAAGCGATGAATAACGCATAAATAATAAATTTAGACTAATTACCATATTTTTTTATACGATTATTATTTTTTTAATTATCAACTTAGGACAAAGAAAAAGCTTGCATGGTTTCCACCGCCAACAGGCGTTAAAACAAATGAATCCAGGGCGTTGTCAAATATTTAATGGGATAAGTTGATAAGTTTTTACCGTTTGAATATTGTTGTAAATAATAATTATTATCATTTAATTAGTGCTAACTTATCAAAATTCACAACACGGCGAAATTTCAACAAAATCGGCCAACGGATCTTTAAAATATTAATAAAAAAATGTCTATTAGGACTTGACACCCTGTATCTTTAAAATTATGCATTTCCGGACACATTTTTATATTAACTTTTTACCTTAAAAACACAAAGAATCACCTTCTGAAGTTGGCCAGATACTTAATTAACAGCCTGTATTTAAAAATGACTAGCTAGCGATTTTGTAAGTAAAGCTATGTTTATTTTAATAGAAAAAAAAATACATTTCAATTCATTAAAAAATAAACAAACCCATAATTCAATTACTATACACTACAAAATGAAACACTAAATCACCACAATACACCAAAACACTTTTACTTTTACACTGGACGCGCGTTTCGCTAACCATGTTAGCATCATCAGCAGATGCTTATAAACTCATGGTTAGCGAAACGCGCGTCCAGTGTAAAAGTAAAAGTGTTTTGGTGTATTGTGGTGATTTAGTGTTTTATTTTGCTGTGTAACACCAAAGGTTCTAACCCTCAACTGTAATACTATACACTAATTAATTAATTTTAAATGTATTTAAATAGGCACTTTAATAATTGAAAAATGGACATGAGCACTTCATAGAGTATACCAAATATGTAAAAAAATTCCAATAAAAAAAACACAAATGGCACATTAAAATCTGCATTATCTGAAATCAAACTATAGGTACCTAAACGGTCAATCAGCCAGACAACAGTCACAAGATGCCGACATCGATAACGCGATGAGCAGTTTTTAATAATTATTCAGAGTTAATACTTCAAGTAGCATTCCTTCAAATAATTTTTAATTTAAGTATTGTTAATACATATAGTCATATTAATGATTATAGCCTGTATGATTTCTAAAATAAAAAATCCAGCGTGTTTTTATCAGAATAATTATTAAATGATTAACTAGAAATAGTTAATATTTATTAACTTCGTAAGTGTTATTTTTTAATATAATTATGGATTTAATAATTAAATAATTATCTTAAGTTTAAATTGTGGT